GAAACCCGTAAGCCTCGATCCTTGAAACCCGTAAGCTTCGATCCTTAAAACCTGTAAACCTTGATCCTTGAAACCCGTAAGCCTCGCTCCCTGTCTTTAGGCAACATTTGAGCATCTTCACAAGTTTGATTTTATGTGCCTTTTTCGTGAGTACATTGCAATACTTAGATTTCCTAATAAGTTATTTTCATGGTAATGCGTGAGGTTGGTGTGTCCTCTTCTTTTGATGTTTAAGGATCTCCCAATTCTGAAGAGGGCAGCAAGATCTACGCATTATTAGTCCCTTATGGATGAACTATATTTTAGATAATGTGAAGAGTTCTACCATCTAAAATTATTTTTCTTTATTTTTTATGCTGATGTTTTTTAAAGGGATTCATGAACCTGTCACTTTGGCCACTCAAAGAGACAAAGAGAATTTTGAAAGAATACCCCCCCCCCCACCACCACCCCATTACACTTCCAGTATACCAGCTCCCCTGCTGCTCCATTGCTCTATCAGAGACAAATTGGTATCAAACTCAAACCCTGTGTAAGCTCTTTGTTGGATGGTTTTGGAACTTCCACATGGATGATGACGTCTTTCCATTCCTTGTATGATTTTTTTTAATATACATTTATGTTTTGGCGTACTAATAGATTATCTGGTGGGCAATTGGTTTTGAAATGACATCACATGGTTTAACATCATGTATCCTGGCCTCTCCTCCTTGTTTGGGGAGGTAAGGGGGCTTCTCACATTCAGGTCCTATCCTAGGAGTACTATATATTTACTGTATTTAGTATGTTTTGACTGCCTCTGATGAAGAGGGTACTGCCCTTGATACCTGTAAGCCTCGCTCTATCTATCGATAGGGAACATTTGAGCATCTTCACAAGATTGATTTTATTTGCCTGTTGTTACTTTCTTTAATTTTGTTTGATGTTTAAGCTACTGTGCCGAGGATCTCCCAATTCTAAAGAGGGCAGCAAGATCTACGCATTACTTAATCCCTTATGGATGAACTATATTCTAGATAACGTGAAGAGTTCTACCATCTAAGGTTGGTTACCTTTTTTTATTTTTTGCGCTCCTTGTTGGATGGTTTCGGAGCTACCACATGGATGATGACGTCTTTCCTTTCCTTGTATGATGGTGTTCAGCCATGACAATAAGCCACTCAGGCCCAAGCACTGTAGCTTGGGTGGTGTGCCATGCTCACCCATACCTGGAAACACTATATAATGTATTTAATGAAGACAGGCCTACAGAGCTGTGAGGAAGTGTAGCAAAAGGTGGATACAAGTGGGTGGGGGTTTGAGCTTTCAAGAGACTCTGTTTGGGACCATTCTGGGCAAAGCATTAGGGTCTCTTGAAACCACATTCTTCCAAATACACTCTTCCGACCAGAGGTCTCAACAGTTTGTACCTCCTAGTGTATACCACTATATACTACAAAATAGTTACCAGTAACTTGCAAGTTATGTAGGTCCCTGAATTTTGTTTTACACACCTGAAGGAAACTTAGTGGCAATAGGCCTTGTTTTAAACATGTTTTGATACTCCCTTTATGATTGATTGTTTGGTTTTAATTATGATTCCTTTAAGGGGACACTGTATTGACGTCAGATTGAAAAGAAAATCTTCTTATGTTCTTTTTAGTCCTGATGCCCCTTCATCAGTGCCCCCTTGCACTTGGACCCCCGAAACGCATTGGATACTTCTCAACTTATACCCATGACCTTTAATGGAATAAAGCAGGTGGGGGACAACTACAGGAGGTTGGGGGGGCACTGGGGGAGGTATTGGGGAAGGGCTAAGGGCTCTCAGGGGACCTGGGGTACTGTGGGCCACTATCAGTGATTGGGGGTACAATGACGGCTAGAAGACACTACGGTAAGCTAGGGGACCTACTGCAGGTGTAATTCTGTCATGCCGCTGGAGCCATGCTGATTTTTTTTTTATTTTAGGTACCCCTTTAAAAATTGCGACATTGCCCCTCCTCTGTTATGCACTGTTTTATATTCCGCTTCTGCTTCAAGAAACGTACTGATTGCAGTTCACGTTTTTTTTTTTCTCTTTCTAAATCAATGTTTTATTGTTCCAATTCTTTTTCTAATGTCATATGCCTATTTTCTCGAATGTTTCATAAACATTTAATAAAAAAAGATGTTTGACAAATAAAAAGCAATCTTAAGATGTATTCTGGTTTATTCACCCACTTATGGAGTGTAGAAACTGTCAATTTGTTGGTAAATATCTTGCAGACGTTTCCTGTTTCGTGCTTCTGAATAACGTTTGCAAACTGATTTGCGGTGCTATTAACCAAATAATCGGCCTATAAAAATAAATAAGTGCCAGACATCTCAGATGGTTCTTTTACAACTTTTTTCTTAAATAATTTAACACTGTAGCTAGTACAATATCGATGTTACAATATAGGTCAATGCTTCTCCACCTTTTTTATTCATGGTACCCTTTGAGAATATGCAAAACAATTTAAGGCACCACAGTCTAAAATAGGGTCCTTTTAAACAGGGGTCTCCAAACTTTCTAACAAAGGGCCAGTTTACTGTCCTTCAGACGAGGGGCCAGTTTACTGTCCAGACAAGGAATAGTGCTCCATCATTGGTATTAGCAGGAGGAAATAGTGTTCCATCATTGGTAATTAGCAGGAGGAATAGTGCCCCATCATTGGTATTAGCAGGAGGAATAGTACCCATCATTGGTATTAGCAGGAGGAATAGTGCCCATCATTGGTATTCGCAGGAGGAATAGTGTTCCATCATTGGTATTCGCAGGAGGAATAGTGTTCCATCATTGGTATTAGAGGGAAGAGTTGCACCTCATCATTGGTATTAATGGGAGGAATAGTGCCCCATAATTGGTATTAATGGGAGGAATAGTGTCCTATCATTGGTATTAGTGGGAGGAATAGTGCCCCATCATTGGTAATAGTGGGAGGGATAGTGCCCCATCATTGCTATTAGTTGGTGGAATAGTGTCCCATCATTGGTATTATTTGGATGAATAGTGCCCCATCATTGCTATTAGTTGGCGGAAAAATAGTGTCCCATCATTGGTATTAGTGGGAGGAACAGTGTCCCATCATTGGTATTAGTGGGAGGAACAGTGTCCCATCATTGGTATTCAGTGGGAGGAACAGTGTCCCATCATTGGTATTAGTGGGAGGAATAGTGTCCCATCATTGGTATTAGTAGGAGGAATAGTGCCCCATCATTGGTGTTAGTTGTATGAATAGTGCCCCATTATTGGTATTGTTGGAAGCAGAGGCAGAGTGACAACTCATGGGGCCCCGGAGCAATAGGGATCATGGGGCCCCTGTGTCCTCGCCCACACCAAAAAAAGCCTATGAAAAAGCCAATGAAAGGTACCTAGGGGCATCTCATGGGGCCCCCTACTGACCCCGGGCCCTCGGACAGTGCCCGAGTGCTCGAATGGTCAGTCCGCCCCTGTTTGGAAAAATAGTGCTCCATCATTGGTATTAATGGGAGGAATAGTGTCCCATCATTATTAGTTGGAGGAATAGTGCTCCATCATTGGTATTAGTTGGAGGAATAGTGTCCCATCATTGGTATTAGTAGGAGGGAATATGTGTCCATCATTGGTATTAGTGGGAGGAATAGTGTTCCATCATTGGTATTAGTAGGAGGAATAGTGTCCCATCATTGGTATTAGTAGAAGGAATAGTGTCCCATCATTGGTATTAGTGGATGGAATAGTGCCCATCATTTGTATTAGTGGGAGGAATAGTGCCCCATCATTTGGTATTAGTGGGAGGAATAATGCCCATTAATTGGTATTAGTTGGAGGAATAGTGCTCCATCATTGGTATTAGTTGGCGTAATAGTGTCCCATATTTGGTATTAGTGGGAGGAATAGTGCCCCATCATTGGTATTAGTTGGAGGATAGTGCCCATCATTGGTATTAGTGGGAGGAACAGTTTCCCATCATGGTATTAGTTGGAGGAATAGTGTACTTTCTCATTGATAATTAGTGGGAGGAATAGTGCCCCACATCGTCATGGTTAGTTGGATTGAATAGTGCCCCGTCATTGGTATTAGAAGAAGGAATAGTGCTCCATCATTGGTATTAGTTGGAGGAATATTGCCCCATTATTGGTATTAGTGGGAGGAATAGTGCCCCATCATTGGTATCAGTGGGAAAGAATAGTGTCCACATCTAAAATTAGTGGGAAGAATAGTGCCCCATTTTGGTATATTAGTAGGAGGAATAGTTGTCCCATCATTGGTATTAGTGGGAGGAATAGTGCCTCATTATTGGTATCGGTGGGACAAGGAATAGTGTCCCATCATTGGTATTAGTAGAAGGAATAGTGCTCCATCATTGGTATTAGTTGGAGAAATAGTGCCCCATTATTGGTATTAGTGGGAGGAATAGTGCCCCATCATTGGTATTAGTGGGAGGAATAGTGCCCCATCATTGGTATTAGTGGGAGGAATAGTGCTCCATCATTGGTATTAGTTGGAGGAATAGTGTTCCATTATTGGTATTAGTGGGAGGAAGAGTATGCGCCCATAATTGGTATTAGTGGGAGGAATAGTGCCCCATAATTGGTATTAGTGGGAGGAACAGTGCCCCATCCTTGGTATTAGTGGGAGGAATAGTGCCCTATCATTGGTATTAGTGGGAGGAATAGTGCCCCATCATTGGTATCAGTTGGCGGAATAGTGTCCCCATCATTGGTATTAGGGGATGGGAATAGTGCCCCATCATTGGTATTAGTGGGAGGAATAGTGCCCCATCATTGGTATTAGTGGGAGGAACAGTGTCCCATCATTGGTATTAGTGGGAGGAACAGTGTCCCATCATTGGTATCAGTGGGAGGAACAGTGTCCCATCATTGGTATTAGTGGGAGGAATAGTGTCCCATCATTGGTATTAGTAGGAGGAATAGTGCCCCATCATTGGTGTTAGTTGTATGAATAGTGCCCCATTATTGGTATTAGTTGGAAGCAGAGAGCAGAGTGACAACTCATGGGGCCCCGGAGCAATAGGGATCATGGGGCCCCTGTGTCCTCGCCCACACCCAAAAAAGCCTATGAAAAAGCCAATGAAAGGTACCAGGGGCATCTCATGGGGCCCCCTACTGACCCCGGGCCCTCGGACAGTGCCCGAGTGCTCGAATGGTCAGTCCGCCCCTGTTTGGAAAAATAGTGCTCCATCATTGGTATTAATGGGAGGAATAGTGTCCCATCATTGGTATTAGTTGGAGGAATAGTGCTCCATCATTGGTATTAGTTGGAGGAATTGGTATTAGGAATAGTGTCCCATCATTGGTATTAGTGGGAGGAATAGTGTCCCATCATTGGTATTAGTAGGAGGAATAGTGTCCCATCATTGGTATTAGTAGGAGGAATAGTGTCCCATCATTGGTATTAGTGGGGGGATGGAATAGTGCCCCATCATTGGTATTAGTGGGAGGAATAGTGCCCCATCAATTGGTATTAGTGGGAGGAATAGTGCTCCATCATTGGTATTAGTTGGCGGAATAGTGTCCCATATTTGGTATTAGTGGGAGGAATAGTGCCCCATCATTGGTATTAGTTGGAGGAATAGTGCCCCATCATTGGTATTAGTGGGAGGAACAGTTTCCCATCATTGGTATTAGTTGGAGGAATAGTGTACTATCATTGATATTAGTGGGGAATAGTGCCCCATCATTGGTGTTAGTTGGATGAATAGTGCCCCATCATTGGTATTAGAAGAAGGAATAGTGCTCCATCATTGGTATTAGTTGGAGGAATATTGCCCCATTATTGGTATTAGTGGGAGGAATAGTGCCCCATCATTGGTATCAGTGGGAGGAATAGTGTCCCATCATTGGTATTAGTGGGAAGAATAGTGCCCCATTATTGGTATTAGTAGGAGGAATAGTGTCCCATCATTGGTATTAGTGGGAGGAATAGTGCCCCATTATTGGTATCGGTGGGAGGAATAGTGTCCCATCATTGGTATTAGTGAAGGAATAGGCTCCATCATTGGTATTAGTTGGAGAAATAGTGCCCCATCATTGGTATTAGTGGGAGGAATAGTGCCCCAATTGGTATTAGTGGGAGGAATATTGCCCCATCATTGGTATTAGTGGGAGGAATAGTGCTCCATCATTGGTATTAGTTTGGAGGAATAGTGCCCCATTATTGGATTAGTGGAGGAATATCGCCCCATAATTGGTATTAGTGGGAGGAATATCGCCCCATAATTGGTATTAGTGGGAGGAATATTAGTATCAGTGGGAGGAATAGTGCCCCATCCTTGGTATCAGTGGGAGGAATAGTGCCCTATCATTGGTATTAGTGGGAGGAATAGTGCCCCATCATTGGTATCAGTTGGGGGAATAGTGCCCCATAATTGATATTAGGGGTGGGAATAGTGCTCCATCATTGGTATTAGTGGGAGGAATAGTGCCCCATCATTGGTATTAGTTTGGGGAATAGTGCCCTCTCATTGGTGTCAGTGGAAGAAAAAATGCCCCATTGTTGTTGTCAATGAGAGGATTGGTTCCCCAATGTTGGTGTCAGTGAGAGAAATGGTGCCATTTTGTTGGTGTAAGTAGGTGGAATAGTGCCTCAAGTGCCAGATAAAGGCAAGCAAAGGGCTGCATTCAACCCAGGGGCCACAGTTTGGAGACCACTGCTCTATAACATTAGAAGCCCACCTCTTCACAGATGGAGGAGTCCTCACTGCTTCCCCCCACCCTCAGAGGGGGCTGGAGTGTGAGGGGAGTCTCTTTCACACTCCAGCCCCCTTTCACAATAGAGTCTTCAATCTACCCCCTTTTCTACATTGGAGTCCTAAGACCCCCTCCTCCCTCTTTTTGCAAGAGAGTCCCTCCTCCCAGTCTTCAGCACAGTGTGGCTGGGGCAGCATGGCAGTAGGTAGCAGGTGGACAGAATGAACAGAGGCAGACTTACATCCCCTTCTGAATGCTGGGGTTGCCCTGAATACCACCTGCCCTGAATTAACCTCATGTATTTCCATGCTGCTGATGGCTAACCTGCACCATAGAAGCTCCAAATGCTGTGCAAGAATACCAGACATAGTGGGGCACCCCTGAAAGTCCAAGATGGCGGGTTCCTCAGGTTCCTGGCTGAGAAACTCTGATATACGTCAGACAATTAATACCCTACATTGCAGTTATAAAATCACAAAATGGCAAATTTTGTCTGGAATTATAAACTCTGTGAATCATTAGCGAATCTTAAATTCACTTAGAGCGCAACTCTGAGCAAAAGCCAGAACACCTCCCTCTCACCCTGTCTAGCTATTTACTTAACGTGGTTATAAACCCTTACATATATCCAATGAAGTGACTGATCAGGTGATACACAGACATGAAACAAATCAAGTTGTACCTGTTTATTTGCAGTCTTCTCTTCAGCAGTTAGAAATCCAAAATTTATAAAGCTTGTCTAAGCTGTCAGAAAAAAAGGGGGCGGAGAGCTGAAGTTACACTCCACAGAGCTCAGTGAGGAGAGCTGAGAGCTGATTGGAGAGAAGGGACACACACCTCCCGACCAGCCTAAGTGAATAAATGATAAGGAGCAGCCTCAGCCTACATGTCTCCGCTACACCGTACACCCTGATTTGTTTCACCCCGCCCACCAGGGCTTAGTCATCGGGTTTCTAACCACTATAAGCTGTGGCCATGTGAGGTTTGGGTCCCAAGTCACCCCTACGCTTTTGGACCCTTCCTATTAGTGAGAGCACAAGTTCCTGCAGCGGGAGGGTCCTATCGCAAAAGGCTTTAGAGGCAAAAGAACTACAAGGGGCAGTGAGTGGGCCGGTTCCCAAGAAGATATAACGAGTGGCCTAAACAGTCCAATCAAGGAGGTACATTTACAGTCACTATCTACTGGGAAAATTTCATTTTTGCCTGGAGTTTGAATTACAGGCAAGTAAAAAAACACAAATTAGTAGTAGATGGTAACCTTGGATGATACCTGATTATAACTAAAGGGTAGCCAAAGGCTTTTATTTTTTTAAATTTTTGTTTTGGAGTAGAGAGAGATTAGAACCCGTCTGTTTTTCATTGCTGTCTGTGCCTCCATTAGATAGATTCACCCTTTCTATTGGTCCTGTTATCATCGAAAGTAAAAGTGAAAGAAAATTAAAAATTTTGGGTTGTCCCCCATAACGGGAAATATTCCAATGGGTTCACCTTACTTTTCATCTCACTTCCTGTGATAGGAAGTAAAAAGAAATTTTCCTCTCTAAAAAAAACAAAAAAATTAGCATGGGTTATACCCTCTCTTTCACTATTAAAAAAATGTTTTGCCCTTAGTTCTACATTCATTAATAATAAATTGACTTTTTAAAATGTATTTTTTATTTAAGTTAATAATAAAGTTTTTTTTTTTTAAATTGATAATACATTGATTTGCTTTTCAAATTTAAATTTTATTTACATTGATAGTAAATTGATTTTTTTTGCAATTCATAATCAATTGATTTGCTTTTTAAATGTGATTTTTATTTAAATGAATAGTAAATTGATTTTTACAATTGATAAAAAAAATTGCTTTTTAAATGTGAATTTTATTTAAAATAATAGTACATTTGTTAAAATATTTTTTTATAAACAAGTTTTTCTGTAATTCCAGACTCTTTTTTTGTCCATGTAGAAATTTGAGTGTCTCCATCAACCTATGTGTGTTCCAAATTCTTAGGAGTTTTTTTTTTAACTCATAAACCCATGGGTTGAATGCAGCCCTTTTCTTGCCTTTATCTGGCCCTTGTGGCACTATTCCACCTACTGACACCAACATTGGGGAACCAATCCTCTCACTGACAACAACAATGGGGCATTTTTTCTTCCACTGACACCAATGAGAGGGCACTATTCCCCCAACTAATACCAATGATGAAAACAAGTGCCCTGAACAATACAATCAAGGAGGTATATTTACATTTACTATCTACTGGGAAAATTTCATTTTTGCCTGGAGTTAAAAGCAAAAAACTAACAGGGGTTATACCCTCCCTTTCACTATTAAAAAAAATGTTTTGCCTTTAGTTCTACATTCATTAATAATAAATTGACTTTTTAAAATACATTTTTATTTAAGTTAATGGTAAATAGTATTTTTTTTCAATTGATAATACATTGATTTGCTTTGTAAATTTACATTTTATTTACATTGATAGCAATTGTTTTTTTTTTTCCAATTCAAAATCAATTGATTTGCTTTTTAAATGTGATTTTCATTCAAATTAATAGTAAATTGATTTTTTCAATTGATAAAAAAAAAATAGATTTTTAAATGTGAATTTTATTTAAATTAATAGTACATTTTGTTTTTACTTTTTTTTTTTATAAACAAGTTTTCCTGTAATTCCAGACTCTTTTTTTTGTCCATGTAAAAGTTTTGGGTGTCTCCAGCCACCTTTGTGTGTTCCAAATCCCTTGGGAGTTTTTTTACTTATAATATAAAATATAATATAATATAAAATATAATATAAAATATAATAAAATATAATATATAATATAGTATATTCTCCAAAATACAATACATATTTTTAGAGCTTAATAAACAGTAATAATAATAATTAAAAAAAATGATTGAATAATAATTAAGTGGACTCGAGCTATATGCAATTAATTTAAATTATAATTAAATGCATTTCTTTATAAAGCTACCTGAATCTGATATCAGCTTCTTGTGATTCTGAATTCTGAACACTGAGGGTGGGAAAGGCAGCACTCAATCAGGCTTGATTGCATTACTCAGTGCTATCAGTCTCCATTCCAAACGAGCTTATAGGAGCAGAGTGATGGCCTCATCAGTGTGCCTCTGCTCCTACAATGTCCAATCAGTAGACAGGGGGGCGGATCTGTGACTGATTAACCACAGTGGACAAAAACTGAGGTCATCAACCTTTCTGAGCAGTCTGGCAGAGATGACTGCATACAATTATAAATATCATGGCAGGAAAATAAAGATGTAGCGTATACGTATTTCAACTTCATTTTTTAACCACTTGCCCTCCAGAAAATTGACCGTCCTTCCTGACCAGGCCATTTTTTGCTTTACGGCACTGCGTTACTTTAACTGACAATTACACGGTCATGCAACGCTGCACCCA